TAACCTGTATCAAGATGCTTGCCTTTTCAATGATGGTGGGTGGGGAGGGAGGAAGGGAGAAAATTTGTAACCCAAAGTTTTAAAAACACATGTTAAAAATTAAAAAAAACATTAAATAAAAAAATTAAATAAAAAAATTTTCATAGCTTTAAAAAAAAATCTTACCTTTTATGCTATTGAAAGTAGGAGGGCAGCTAGGCAGGGTGCAGTGGACAGAATGTTGGGCCTGGAGTCAGAAAGACTCATCTTCCTGAGTTCAAATCTGGCCTCAGACACTTACTAGTTGTGTGACAACAAGTCACTTTAACTCTGTTTGCCTCAGTTTCCAATAAAATGAGCTGGAGAAAGAAATGGCAAACCACTCCAGTATCTTTGCTAAGAAAACCCCAAATGGGGTCATGAAGAGTTGGGTATGACTGACAACTACACTTACTACCTGTGTGACTTTGAGCAAGTCAGTTAACATTCCTGGGCCTCAGTTTCCTCATCTGTAGAATGAGGGGGTTGGCCTTATCTAGGCACTGCCAAGGTCCTTTCTGTCTCTAAATATGTGATCCCTATGTTGCCTTTTTTTTTTTGAGATTTCATAGACTTTTGAACTGGAAGGGATCTCAGAGATGGTCTCTAGTCCAACTTTCTCACTTGACAGATGAGGAAACTCCAACTGAGGAAGGCTTGCCCAATGACTTGCCCAGATATCACACAGCTACTATGTGTAAGAGGCAGAATTTGAACTCAGATTTTCTTTACTCCAGTGCTAGTATCCTTGTCCACCCCAGTTCCCCCAACTGGAATTCGCAAACACGCCAATCAGCAAATGGTACAAGAAGAGAAAGAGTCTGCTCAGAGGCTTCTCTTTCCTCAGATTGTGGGGAAACAGATATTTTTCTTGTGCATTTCTTTGATGAGGACACTTCCTGCCTGATGTATTTGAGAATCTCTACATCAGGTACTGAAAATATTTTTTGATGTCACAATCATGTTTGGCCTCCCTGCCCAAATTTAAAGAGAACATTTTTGATGGGGGGGAGGGGTAGGAAAAAGTTTCTGTAGAGTTTACAGCCTAGGCAGATGTGATTGTCAGGCTAGTTCACAAGAATCATGTAAAGGACACCCTGTTGTAACCAGCATGCAGAGCTGAAGCAATGGGGTTCATCCTGACAAGGCTGTTTTTCTACATAAAGGAAGCTACACCCTTGGGGTAAACATTTCTCCCGTTCAGCCTCTCAGCTCCCCAGGCCACCCCAGCCTCCTTTTCCCTTCAACACCAATGAACTCTTCCCATCAGGAAAACGGGCGTCCTTGGTTGAATAGTTCCCGTTACAGGTCCAAGAGGAAGCTGTTAACAATTCCAGAAAACGCTTTCATCGTCTCTGATCTGACCTTAACTGCAGGAATCAGCGGCCCACAGACCAAAGATCATGTCTACTGCTTGCTTAGCCTGATATTTAAAGCCCTGCATAATCTGATACCTGCTTCTCTTTTCCTGGTATATCTCATGGTGCTCACCTAAAATACATGACTAGCCATTCCATGATCTGATCTTCTCCTCTCCACAACACCTACAAGCAGGCTCATCTCTCGTTCACCTGGAGGACAATAACACCTCCCAGCCCCACTCAGATCTGCCTATTGAAATCTTTCTCTACTTTCAAAGGCCAGTTCAGGGTGGGGGTGGGGGGGGGGTTGCTCATCCCATTCCACCCCTCCCCACAAGTGCCCTTCCTTTCTCAAAATGTACTGGAGTAATTTCCAGTCCTGGCCCATCATACCTTGTAGCATAATTATTTGCGGACATGCTATAACTCCCCTAAGAAATTGAAAGCTCTTTGAGGGGAGGGACAGTGCCACTTTCCAGCATAAGACCATTGCACATAGTAGGGGCTTAATTTTAAGTTTGCTGAATCAAATCAAATTGAAGGCAGACCCTAGCATTTCATTAAGGGTGCCTACCCCAAGTATATCAACCAATCCTTGTGCATTTATTAAACACCTACTAGGTTCTAGGGGCCTCTAGGGTGGCACAGTGGGTAGAGTGCTGGGCCTGAAGTCAGGATGACCTAGATTCAAAACTAGCCTCAGACACTTACTAGCTGGGTGACCCTGGGTCAGTCACTTAACACTGTTTGCCTCAGTTTCCTCATCTGTAAAATGAACTGGAGAAGGAAATGGCAAACCACTCCAGTATCTCTGCCAAATGGGGTCATGAAGAATCAGACACAACTGAAAAATGACTAACCTACAATAACAACATCCTAGGCACCATGATAGGTTCAGGTGAAATGAAAAAACAAAACCAGTCTCCACCCATGAAAATCTTGTCGTCCAGCCCAGGAAGGCAACATGCACCTATATAGCTACATACGAGGTAATCTGGAGGGAGTCATTTACGTAGCTCTTTATTGTTTGAAAAGAACTTTACATGTACTATCTCATTTTATCCTTTCAAAACCCCAGGAAAGAGGTACTATTCTCACTATTTTATGTGTGAGGAAATTTAGGCAGACAGAGGTTAAGTGACTTGTCCAGGGTCACACAGCTAGGAAGTATCTGAAACTGAATTTGAATCCAGGTTTTCCTGACTCCAGGTCCAGAGCTTCATCCTCATTTAGCTGCTGGTCACTGGCAGCTGGGGATTGGGGGTGAGAACTAGGAAATCAAAAAAAGGCCTCAAGGCCAATTCCATTCAAGTCCTGAGTTTTAGCTTGGGATTCTTAACCTTTTTGTGGATATCTTAGAGAGTGTGATGAAGCCTACAAACCCCTTCTCAGAATAATGCTTTTAAATAACTAAATTAAATAATTTCAGTTAGAGATTAATGGAAAAACAAAGATGTAATTTTTGCCCACCCAAGTTCACTGACCCTTTAGGGAGTTGTGAACCCCAGGTTAAAAAAAAAACAATTTAGTCCACAAGCCACACTATGATTTTAATCATGCTCCCTAACAACTGCTGTGAACAGGAGGTAACACCTCTATCCCCCAAAATGGAGCATCCATAAAGCCAACAATGGGTGTCTAAGAAGCATCACCGAGCACAAGGCCACCTACATCAGCCTCTCTCCTTTTCCTAGACACATTCATTGGCTGTTTGAAGGCCTCAAACCCATTGGTGAGTTAGGGAGGATGTCTACACCAAATACATGAAGACTTCCCCCCACGCCAAGGAATGGGCGGATGAGAACAATTTGTTCTAACAGGTAGCTGAATCAGGTGCTGTGGAGTGCTTAGAGCTTGGTCAGAAATCAAAGACATCAAGGTCAACCCCTGCATCCTGGGCCATCACCAGTTGTCCTGACTTTTGTCCTGCCACTGGACTTCTGATAACTCTGGAAGAGAAAGTGAGACTAACGGCTTTGTACAATTCTGCCTCACTTAAATCCAATTCATGTCAGGTGAAGTCAGGACATCATGATGTCATCGATCCTCTTTGAAATGAAGGATGAAAAATATGAAAATTCTCACCTTTTATAAGATTTCTCACCTTTGGGCCTTGCCCATTTCTTTAGTTTTTGACAGGGTGTTCCAAACAAAAACTGCCCCGAAAAGTCAAACTGAGGGCCTTTTCGGAAGGAGTTGTGGCTCTGCCTATTCACCCAGACAGACTTAGAAAGAGTAGTGATGGAGGGCAGGGCTGCTGCTTGTTAATAATCAGTGGCCTCTTCCCCTCCCCCCTCCCCACTTGGAATGAGGACAGGAAACTGTTTCAGGCTGAGATGGCAGTGAAAGCCAACTCTCTTCCTTCAAGGAGGAACTCAAGGGGTTCCCAACAGGAAGCTGTGATTCCAACACCTTCCATAAAGCCTTCTTTTTTCCCAGGGATCATAGATTTTGGGCTGGAATGGTCTATATCCAACCCTCTCATTTTACAAGTGAAAAAACTGAGGCCCATTGAGGTTGAGTGACTTGCCCAAGGTCCCACAGGTAATTAAATGGCAAGAGTGGAATTTACATTCAGCTCCTTTGACTTTAAATCTGATGTTTTTTTTCTACTGGCTTGGTGATCAGCTGGGTTACAGCAGGAAGCTCCTGAGAGATGCACGAACAGCTAGTGGGACACCTGTTCCTATAATCTAGAGGCAGCAGGCAGTTGTCCTTATGAGTCTAGTATACATCTAGGTCATGTCTGTGAAATGACAGACTGGACCGGGAATGTACTTGGAACCAGCTGGACCTAACTTGCAAGAGCTGATTGTCAAATTTTCATTGTGAGCATTTATACCTGGAAAATTGGCAAATGCTCCAAATCAGGACTTGGTTTATTGCGGTTTTTTTGTAATGTAGACTGAAGAAAGCAATGGAGAAAATATTAATAATTCAGATTAAATGTAAAAGTGTGTCCTGTGTATATCCACCCCCATCCCCCTGCCCCCAGGGAGCTGGTTATTAAACATTTACCAGCACACTTTTGGACTGGACTGACATTTTCACTAGAGGAAAAAAATAACTAAGACCTTTCTGGTCTCCCCCCCCCCACACAAAACACATCTTAGCTTTGAAAGTCTGCATAGTGCACTCTCCCTCCTGAAATTATATTCATTCCTTTAGAAGCTCCTTGAGAAGAAACAATGTTTTAGGGGAAGTTTTTGTCTCTCTGTCCCCACCACCTAGTACAATCCCTTGCACAAAGTAGGCACTCAATACAAACAATCAAACATTCATTTGATTGTTAAAATTAGTTGAATTAGACGCAAGCACCTCTCATCAGCCTTCCGTTGTGCCTACAAAGGATGCTATGTCTGGTTTTTACCAATCCTCAGATAGGTGCTGATGCATAGTCCTGGACAACTCTTTCTCAATGGTCTTCAGAAGAGCCTCTGTGTATTCTTCATAAAGAGGATTTACCCAGGGAGCAAGGGGAACGGCCAGACCTTTGCTCAATTTCCTTTCCTGGCAGGAAGTAAAGGTTTACAACGCCCAACTGCGCTGGAACCAAACCAGCTCTTTGGGGCCTGCAAGGCAAATGCAAGGTCTCCATCATTCCCCCTTAACCTCACAGTCTTTCAAAGGGTCCATGTTATTTTATTAAACTCAAGACTTGTATATTAAAGTTTGATTTTTTACCTGTTACAGCTATTGATGCTTCTATAATGAAATTCTTAGTGGGGGAGGGGAGAAGAGGGGGATGGGATGGCTACAGTAGGAATACTTGGAATGAAAGCAGGACCATTGTGGGGACAAAGGAAAGCAAGTTCAATTGAAAGGCACTTTTCATGTCCCTGAAGTGAGAAGAAACCACAGGACTAGCCTTTTCCTTCTATGAGTTTCCAGTGTTCCAGTAGAACTACAAAGAATGACTTTGCTGCTCCTATATTCTCAAGCAGGAAGGAGGATCTTTGGGATAAGAGTAGACAAAGGCCGAGAGGACATTGGTCCAAGGGTAATCAAAGGCCAGTGCTGGCAGCAGGCAAAGGCTACCACTTTGGGCCATTGGAGTTTACCCATCATAACGGTCCTCTTGAAAATCCAGGAGGAAGCCCATCTACCACTCCATGGACTTTTTGGTAGCAGATTTAGAAAATGCCTTGCTGATTGATGTTGGAATGACTAGGACCCTCTCAACCCCATTCTCCCTTCCTCTCCACTATTTATTCATTCAACTGCCTGGCTGGGGACTCAGCTGTGGCATGTTAAGTCCCCACCTCAATCTCACCACTCCTCTCCCCCCACCCCCCAAAAAGGGAAATGCCAGGTCATACATGTCTGACCTCCCTAAAACTTTAGTCAATACCAAGCTCACAGCCAACACCACCACCTTCTCCTCATATTGCTACAGTTGGATGGATCCCTTCAAGGTGGACATACTAGATGTATTGGGGTTGGGGCTCCCCTTCTCTCTAAATGAGCTGGCAAGCAGGCTCATAGGGAGAAACAAGGAGTACAGAGTCCCGCATACAGGGGGGACAGGAGCAGAGGTCCTGTGCTAGGCTTCCTTCCCCCATGGGGGGCGTGGGTGAGCTGGATTTGTGAGCAGACGCAAGGAGGGGACCTGGAGGTGTCCCTCACTGCTCTGGGTAGCAGAACGTCCATGGCAGTGGTAGAGCCTGGCAGGAAGAGTGACGGGGGAGCTGGGAGTCCAGGCAACCCCAATGTTAGCAGCTGCAGCTGCTGGCCTGGGCAGGGGCCGTGTCGTTGAGGGCTGCACTCTTGCTGTTGCCAATGGTCCCCGGTCCCGCTTCCAAGCTCTCATTCATCTTCTCGCAGATAATGTCCACCAGGCGTTCAAACACCTGCTTCACGTTGATGTTGTCCTTGGCACTGGCTTCAAAGAACTCAAAACCTATGATAAGCAAGAGAAGGGACGTGGGCAAGATGGCCCTAGGAGGGGCATTACCCTCTGCTTACCCACCTTCTGTACACCCCTCTATGAGAAAGCTCTGAATATGACTGGTCAATATACCACCCACTGGGATGGTTCTACTGAAGTGGGAAAGAAGAACAATAGGAAACCAGGGTGCTGTTCCCTGGGGAGACAGAGGCCTCAGTAGACCTCCAGGCTATTACAACGGAGGCCACCCTCTAAGCCTCCAGTGGAGGCAGGGTAGAGAGCAGGGCAGACTGGACTGGAGAGGGCCTCCCCTAGGGTGAGTGGGGGAGAAGTACAACATGTGGTAACTTCCTCTTTTAACTAACCCTTCTTGCTAACTAGGGGCCAAGCTCTGCTCTTTCTACACTACACTCCAGTACAAGTGCTATCAATACCTTCTAAATGTTGGTGCCCCTGAGCCCTACACAAAGCCCCAGTTATTCCACCTAGCTGTGGCCCTGATAACCAGTCATTAGCGAGTAGTGGGGTGTACTGTATGAAGAGCCAGGAAGAGCTGAGCTCAGGTTCAACCTCAGGCTCATGCTATCTGTGTGTCCCTGGACAAGTCACCTGACCTCTGTTTGCCTCAGTTTCCTCATCTGTAAAATGGAGGTGATAATAGCATCTGCCTCCCAGGGTTACTGTGAGGATCAAATGAGATGATACGTGGAAAGTGCTTTATAAAGGTTAGTTCTGATTTGTGCTTTTCGGGGATGATAGTCAGTCTCTGGCCTGTGCCCTGGTCAGACCACATTGGAGTCACATGTTTGGTTCTGCCCCCCATGTTTTAGGAAAGATATTGACAAGCTGAAGCACGACCAGATGCCAAGAAGAGTAAGATGAGAGACTGTTCCAGGCAGTGATTAGCTGGAGGAACTGGAACTGTTTAGTCTAGGTAAGAGAAGGGGAGACAGAAGGGCTGTGGAGGGCCAGGACTATTTCTTTTTTTGTCTTTGTATCCCCAATGCCTTCTATGTGTTGCCGTTGAGTCATTTCAGTCTTGTCCAACTTTTCATGACCCCATTTGGAGTTTTCTTGGAAGATATATTGGAGAGTGGTTTGCCATTTTCTTCTCTAGCTTGTTTTACAGATGAGGAAACTGAGGCAAACAGAGTTAAACAACTTGCCCAGGGTCACACAGTTAGTAAATATCTAAGGCTGGATTTGAACTCAGGTCTTCCTACTCCAGGCCTGGCACTCTCTCCATTCACCAAGTGTTTGTTGAATTAAATTGAATTGGATTCAAATATCTGAAGACCTATCATGAGGAAGAGGGATGAGGCTTGTTTGACGTGGTCCAGAGAGAAGTAAGAGCAGTGGGTAGCAGTCATCGAGAGGGATAAATTCAGGGGCTAGATCTGTGATTTCATTGGCATAGGGAACTCCCTGCTCACCATCGCAGATCAGCACCTTCCCCAAAACTTACAATGTTAGGGCACTGAGCCCTTCAGTGATTCTCCCAGGGTCCCACAGCCAGTATGTGCTAGACAGAACATCTGGACCCAGGTCTTCTCAGCTCCAAGGGCTGTCCTCTATCCACTATGCCAGGTTCCCTCTCATAAGGAGACATTTCTAATAATTATAGCTGTCCCAAAGTGGTATGGGTTGTTTCTGTGAGATAGTGAGTTACTCATCATAGGAAGTCTTCAAGGGATAACAATATAATAGCTATAATAACAGTTGGCTTTTATATAGCATTTTAAGGTTTGCAAAATACTTGACAGGTTATCCCATTTCATCCTCACAACAACTCTGGGGGGCAGGTGCCATTATTACCCACCCCCCAACACACACACGTTATGGATGAGGAAACAGAGGCAGACAGCCATCAGATGACTTAACCAGGGTCACAGAGCTAATAAGTGTCTGAGGTTGGATTTGAACTCAGGTCTTCCTGACTCCCAGTCCAGTATTCTATCCATTGCTGTTTCATATACAATTTGTCAGATGTATTGTAGAAGAGGTTTCCTCTTGGGTGTGCATCATACTAAGTGACTAGAGGTCCCTTCCAATTCAGAGACCGAATGAATGTATGAATTACAGCCAACATTCCAACATTTAATTATCCAGATGTGGATAACCTACTGGCTAGCTCCTCCCCACCCACCTCCACCCTTAAGGCCTATCTCCCTCCTTATTCACCATATTTGTGAGTAAATCCAGTAACAACAAACTCCTGTTAATATGGGGTGGGGGGGAGGGCACACCAATTCTATCACTTGATCAGGGCAGAGAATCCCCTCTGCTGATGCCTATCAAAAATTTTTCTGCAATTTTTGCCCAACTGTATGCCAATAAATTTGATAATCTTAGTTAAATGGATGAATATTTACAAAAAATATAAATTTCTCAGATTAACAGAAGAGGAAATAAAAATTCTTCTGCAATTTATAGGCCTAGACATGGATAAGAGGTTGGTTGGGTTTTGCTGAACGGTTATATTTTTTTTTCTTTTTAAAAACATGTTGTTACAAAAAGGGATGACTCATTGGGTAAGGGATGGGAGGAGGGAAAGAGAGAGATTCAGAAATGAAAGGGATACAAAGACAAAAGAAAGTGACAAAAATAAGATTTAAAAGTTAGGGAGTTGTCGGAGGCATGTGTTGAGAAGTGAAGGGACTCACCCATGTATGTGTCAGAGGCAGGAACTTAGGGCAAGCCCTCTACCTCCCATGCCAATCTATATCTCAATGGTAATATTTACCTGAGCAGAAGGAAATTAGGAATGCTGGTAAAAAAAAAAAGTTCATGGAATGAAGACAGCACAAAGAACATCAAAGATATTATCTTGCCTCTACATTAGCCTCCATTTCCAGACGCCCTGCAAATTTTAGGAGGATATAATTCTTGTCCCAGAGAAATTACTACAGAATTACGTTGTAGGAGAAACCAAGTGATCTCATTGTACCTGCTTGTTTCTCTAGCCAGGCTTGGCCCAGAGATCAGTGCCCAGCAGTGCTGAGTCAGTTTCCAAAGCTCCCCAAGATTTGGGGTGGAGGGATGGGTCGTTTGCCCCTCCAACCATCACTAACCTAGGTCATCAGCGAGGTGCTTGCCATCTTCTGTGGACACTACCCGCTCATCTTCCAAGTCACACTTGTTCCCAACGAGGATGACCTGGGCATTATCCCAGGAGTATGTCTTAATCTGTGTGGCCCTGGAGGGGAAAGGAAAGCAAAAAAGATTTCTGCTTAGTGACCATGCCTGCCTCCAGGACAAGCCAGCTGGGCCAGACCCAGGGACCTGAATGACTGTCCCCAGTTGGCATGGCTTAGCCTAGCCAAAAGTGGGTTAGGGAGACATCTGTGATTTCGGGCTTTTGAGGAGCTTGAAGAAAGGATTGACAAAGCTTCACAACACAGTAGTTCACTTTCTGGTGGCATGCCAGGATGCCACCCACGTATTCACCCACAGCAACAGCACCATGTCTTAAGATGGATGGGGAAAGACCACCTTCCTCTTCCCAGCAGCTCGGAGAAACGGGCTGGGGACTTTGGGCTTGCTTCATTTGCCCTCTTCAGCTCTAGGTGCAGGGAGTAGAATCTTGGATATGAAAGCTTGAGCCATGGAGACCTTGGGGCCCAAGAGTCTGGGCCAGATGTTGTTAACAGTCTCACAGGGAAGAAGACAGGATCATAGGAGGCAAGCACAGGCAGGGCTTTGGACATGGAACTTGGTGAAACTAATGGCTGTGGAGGATCTGAGCTAAAGCTGAGAACCTAATCCCTCTCCCCTTTTGGGGTGGGTGGGTATGAGGGATTAAGCCTTCTATGTGCTGGGGAAAATATTTCTATGTTCTTATTATACCTTTGAAGTAAATATTCCTTTGTAAAAGCTAAAACAATAACAACAGTGTAAAAACAAACAACTCTGAAAGACTTAAGAACTTTGATCAAAGCTTGATTCTGAGGAGGTGATAAAACAAACATGCCACCCACCTCCACCCAGAGAGGTGCTGGACTCAGGGTGCAGAATTAGGTATGTATATTTTTGGACAGGGTCAAGGAGTGAATTCATACTGCTTGCCTGCGCATACTTGTTTGTGCATACTTTGTTTTTCTTTTTTTCTGGTGTGTATGTGGAGGGTGGGGTGGAGGGATGGGTGGGAGGGAGAGAAAATAGATTGTTAATTGAAAAAAATTACATTTAAAAACTTATTTTTAAAGATAAGACTCCTTCCTTTGTTGGCAGAGAGGTGCTGGTTTACAGCTGTGGAATGAAGCATACACCAGCCTGGATAATGTGTTGATTTGTTTTAACTTTGCTACAAGGGAAGATTCTTTGAGATTGAGTAGAATCATTGGGAAGTGGAAACGATGTTGTTGGGTTTTTTTTTTTTAAAGAATATCAGCAAAATATTTCAAAAGGGGAAAAAAACACCCAAAATATAAAGAAAGTATTCTATGTGAGACTAACTTGAGTACCCCTTGGAGGCAGACACTCCCATCTACCAGCAGACATCCCGAGCAGGAACACAGCATGTGGGTCTGGGGACTGGCACTGGCATTGAGAAAAGGGACTGAAGGGCAGAGTGACTCACCAGTCCTGGACGGCATTGAAGGATTCCTGGTTTGAGACATCGTACATTAATAGGAAGCCCATGGCACCCCGGTAGTAGGCAGTGGTGATGGTCCGATAGCGTTCCTGCCCTGCGGTGTCCTGCAAAACACAGAAATGAGCTAACTCCTGCACCTGGGTCCTCATTCCCACCACAACCACCCAACCCCACAAGCCTACCAAGTCCAGCCCTCATGCTGCTAGCATCCCAAATTTCCTTCACGTTAGGGGTTTCAGAGATGACCGGACACCAGACAAGCCCTCTGCAATTGAGGGTCCCATCTAATGTAAGAGCCTTGCTCCTGACCTCAGGAAGCCTTAATTCCAGGCCAAGTGAGGATCAGTTAAATGAACTGCTAATACTTAGCCTGCAGAGAAGACTCAGGGGGAACTTGATGGCTGTTTTCTTTCCTTTTCTTCTTACCCCAATTTTTAAACATTTTTATTTAAAGTTTTGAGTTCCAAATTCTATCCCTCCCTCTCTCCCCTCCTCCCCTCCCTGAGACAGTAAGCAATCAGATATAGGTTATACATGTGCAATTATGCAAAACATTTTCATATTAGTCATTTTGTACAAGAAGTCTAGAATAAAAGAAAAAAAGATGAAAGAAAGTGAAAAATAGCCTGCTTTAGTCTGTATTCAATCAATATCAGTTCTTTCTCTGGAGGCGGATACTATGCTTCATCATTAGTCCTTTGGGATTGCCTTGCATCACTGTGTTGCTGAGAATAGCTAAGTCACTCACAATTCTTCATCGAATGATGTTGCTGTTACTGTGTACAGTGTTCTCCTGGTTCTGCTCACTTCACTTAGCATCAGTTCATGTAAGTCTCTCCAGGTTTTTCAAAATCATGCTTACAGAACAATAATATTCCATTGCAATCATATACCACAGCTAGTTCAACCATTCCCCAGTTGATAGACACCCCTTTGATTTCCACTTCTGTAGCCACCACAAAAAAGAGCTGCTTTGATGGCTGTTTTCAAGTAATTAAAGGACTATCACATGGAAGAGGAATTGTTCTGTTAGGCTTCAGAGAACAGTCAATTCAGGACAAATAGGGTTGAACTTGGGAAAAATTTAGGCAGATGTAGGCTCGATATCAGAAAGAACTTTGTAACAATTAGAGCTGTCCAAAATGGAATGACCCACCCTTTGGAAGTGGTGGGTTCCTATCTTTTGGAGATCTCCAAGAAGAGCCTAGATGGATTGCTTGACAGGTATGTTATGGGATTTCTTTTGGGCATGGGACAGCTGCTGAGATCCCTTCTAAATCTAGAATTCTGTAATACAACCTTGACCTTAGGGAGCCCCTGATCTTTGGGGAGGGGGACGTGATTTGGATTCTGGAGCCCCTAGTCTAGAGGCAAAGAAAGCCCACGTTCCCAGAGGATGCCCAGTATAGGGGGTGGACAGGGTATGATGTAGTCTCAGGGAATCTCATATTTTGGGGGGAGAGACATGGCCCTCTATACCCCCCAGCAAGCCCAAGAAATCACAGAATTAGAGGATTTCTAGTCCAACCAATAGCTGGAAAGGAATTCCTATGACCATATGCCTGACAAGTGGTCAGCCTGCCTCAGCCTTGAAGACCTCACCTCCAGTGTGGGGGAACCTCCCATCCTAGCTAGAGCTCTACAATCCTGTGAATCTCCCAAGGCAGCCCATTCCCTTTGGTTCAGCTTTGATTGTTAGGAACCTTTCCCTGAAATGGAGCTTGAATTTGTCTCTTTGCACCCATTGCTCCTAATTCAACTGACCTTTGGAATCAAACACATGATAGCCCTTTGAATACCTGAAAACAGCTATCCTGTTCCCTCCTGGTCTTTTCTTTCTCAGATCCCTGAACTTAGAGGGGAGATAGGTTCCCAGAGCTTCCTGTCTGAGGGTAGAGACACTTCCCCTTAGGTCCAAGGGAAACTCAAGATACACAAATTCTAAAACACTTTCAGGACATGGGCAATTCCAGATGCAGATGATGCCCAGTGACATTCTGGGAATGAGGGGGAGGAAGGGTGGATCTTTCCACAGTTCAGACTTGAGCTTATGTTTATTCCAGGGAAGCAATGATTCCTGGGTACTTACCCCTCCCCATACACACACACACACACACACACACACACACACACACACACCACACACACATACACACACCTACAGGCCCAGTGAGCCAGGCCTCCTCCCAGCACCCACCATACACCCACAGCCGTGCTATTTGAGCAGACTGAGCTCAGGAAGCTCTGTGTTACTGTGGCAACCCCTTCCAGGCCCAGTGCTAGGCTCCAAGGTACCCCATAGATGGGAGATGAGGATGCAGGAAGTAGAGGAGGGGCTGATGGCTCCTCAGGTCCTTTGTTGAGGGAGAGGAGGGGAAGACCATGGCGTGAGCCTGGCTACACAGTCCCTGTTTGAGCCTGGCATGGAAACAAAAGAACCATCCATCCTACCCTTTCACCTCCATTTATGACTGTGTCCCAGAGTCATTTCTGCCTTTTCAGGCTCATGGCTGCTGAGGAAGAAAGGGTAGACTGAGCAGAGGCCTCAAATCAAGAAGAGGAGGTGGAGAAGGGAAGGGACAGAAAAGAGGGGCAGGGAACCTGAGGGCTGGCCTAGGCAGGGGCCCATTCAAGCAAAGAGAGAACGCTAATCTAAGCCCAGTCCCTATGCTACTGGCATCAAACAGTGGCCCTCAAATCTTTGTTAACTTGTGAGTCACCTGGACATTAGCCACATCCCTAGGACACACATCCCTGACAATAGCCATCTGGCACGGCTAGTGCTGTTACTATGGCAACCAGGCCTTGGTGACAGAGACCTGAGAGTCCAGGACGGCTGCACCGGCGACTGCCCAGGAAGTAGGAGAGCCAGTGGGGACATGGGACTGCTCTTTGTTGACTTGTTTCCAGGCCCTGGAAGCCCCCTCTGTTTTAGCTCTGCTTCTGGGTATTTCTGACAAACCAGATGAGCCATAGGGAGTGATAGGGCCTCCATTTCCCTTGCTCCCTGAGGGCAAGACTCAGGTCTCCCCACTCAGATTAGGGGCTCCATGAGGACAGGGTCTATAATTGAGTATGAGACCACAAGGCCCACCCACCACACCCCAAAGGCATACTCTGACTCAGTCCAGTCACCTGGCTAATTCTACTTCAGCCTTCCATTTCCATAGCAACCTCCTGTGATGGGGTGGAGTGGTGGAGAGAGGAGATATGCCCTCTAAGAGGTCACCAGGCCAGACCCAGTGTCCAGGGCTCTACCTTTGCTACTCTCTCCTCTTCTAGGATATGTCAGTTACCGTCCCCCATACACATACCTGTTATACCCATTGGGTAAGACCCATTTCCCTGCCATCGTGCCTTCCATGGAGTCCAGTCACCACCCTGGCACTCACCCAGATCTGCAGCTTGACCCGCTTCTCATTTCGGTAGACAGTCTTAACTTTGAAGTCAATGCCCACCGTGCTAACAAAAGCTGAGGTGAAAGAATCATCGGCATATCGGAACAAGAAGGAGGTCTTCCCCACGCTGCTGTTCCCAATGATAAGCAGCTTGAACATGTAGTCGAAATTCTGGTCAGCAGCATCTTTCTGAGCAATGTGGGGGTCTCCAGCTGAGGCCATCTGGGATGAGGAGAGGGCTTCTTTTTAGGTGAGGGATTCCCTAACTTTCCCCTGTCCCCAGCATAGGTCTTTACTCCAAGCCCTAGGAAAACGTTCATATTTGATGGTTTTTCCCAGTGGTCAGTGAATCAGGGAGTCACACCCCTTTGGACAGTGAGGGTCAGGGAACTTACAGGGCCTTGAAGGGGGTGTGGCCAGCATGGACTTTGCCCCCAGGGACCTGGATGTTGCTACCTGGGAGGGATATAGAGAAGGGAAGGGAACCAGCCACCTGGCTTTCACCATCCCCTCCACCCCCAACCAGGCTCCCTCAGTCAGCAGCCTGACTTTTCTGTTGACTTTGGCACCTCCTACTGCCACGCTGATCCAGGCAGTCCTTCCGCTTCCCCATCATCAGCCAGGTAAAATTCTCCAGGGCTTTAACCCCTTCCCCACCACCAGCCTTGGTCAGTCACCCTCCAGGTTATCTTGCCCTACTTGAAGGGATTCCATTTTTCTGCTAAAGAATCCCCTTTTCTATTTCCTCCCTGGCATCATACTCAGCTGCGTTTCCAAACTCTTCAGCTTCGGATTTGTTAAATAGGTTGGCTCCTTGTTCCTTTTCATCTCTGACTTCTTGGAAGATATAAGGACTTCCCTTAGAATACCCTCATTTCCTCTGAGAATTCTCAGAACCAGAGAGGCTCTCTCCTCAAAGAGGCACTGCTAAGTATAGCCACCCACTACTAATCAGCCAAACCAGACAGCATCAGAAATGTTAATGGTTATTAAGATTATCATTGTACTCCAGTATAAGAACCTTTCCCTAGCTCTCCATCCACCTGCACTAGACTTGGGTTGGGGATTGGGGAGAAGGCAAGGAGACTCCTGAGCTTCCCAGAAAAGTTCTAGTACATTTTTCCTGGGGCTGGGAGGTGAAGCTCCTAAAAATTCTGTTCTTAAAAGAGGGACAGGTGATCTTTTCTGGAGCCATGAAATGGCTATGTGATGTACAGTTTTTATTATGTTTGTAGCTATGAACATATTTCTTCCCCAGGTTGAAGGTAAACTCCTAGAAGGCAAGGGTGGTTTCATTTTTGTCTTTGCACCTCCAGTGCCAGCCTAGGTCTTGGCACACAGCAGATGCTTAATAAATGCTTTTGTTTGAATGATGGGAGGGGGGCTGTCCTAAGAGAACACTATTCCTCCCATAGGACTCTGTGTAACAGAAGATATCTAACCTTCTCTTCATCCCACTCACTGGCCCACCACTAATACTCAAGGCCCAAACCCTCCCAGGATCTGCTGTTATCTGGAAGAACCAGTTTGTGGAGCGAAATGTGGAGCGAAATGACGGGATGGAAGGAAGTAGGAAACCTCTGAGTTTGGCTAGGGTCAGTAGATCCAAGCGCCAATATTGGATTCAGGGTGGCCTCGTCCCTGCTCATCTCCTACCTCCCAGAGCAGAACCCCCTCACCAGAGGACAGTCTCAGGTACACCCCCCAAAACAAGTCTATCCCCTCTAGGCCTTGTTCTTGTCACCATACCCCAGCACCTCCATCTGTCTGTACTGCAGTGCTGGGGAGGTTTTCCTTGCAGAAGTCTGTAGTCTGAGAGAGAAAAAAGTTCCCTTCCCCGTTCCTCCCCCCCCCACTCACCATCCCATTGTGGTATCCCAATACAGATGGAGCTGGAAAAGAGGGAGCCTCGGTCCAGAGCCCCTCCCCAAAGATGTGGCCCCGTGACTGCTCTGCCTTGGGTGGTTTCAGTTCGCTGCCCTTTTCTCGTCTGAAGTCGGGGAAGGACCCTGTCCCATTAACCTTCTACGGGGTGTAGCTTTGGACCCGTCCCGCCGCCCCATCCCCCCATCCCCACGTCTGTCCTCAAGTTCTAGCAACACAATCAGTCTGGTTCTTTGGGATGGTCCCAGCCTCAACCGGCCTTCCAATCTAGCCCGGAAAGTTTCTCGACACCGCTGGGGAAGGGAGGTACGGGGTCCTCACCTCTCTGGGGACCGGGTCGGGACGCTGTCACACCGTCCACTCCCTCCGCCTACTCCGAGCACTGTCTAGCCAGCCCAAGCTCCGCAGCCGCCGCCTCGTCCCGGATCCCGGCTACACTCCCAGCCCAGCCCCGCCCCACCTAGCCCCGACCCAACCCAAACGGGAAAGGGGGGGCGGGGCGGGGGGACGGGGGCGGGGGCGGGGGAACGAGGGAGGGCCTTCGGCCACAGCAACTGAGCTCTCCCGGACAGGCCCCCTGGTGGCCAAGCAATCTGGGTTTTCCCTCTCCAACAAGGTCCCCCAAGATGGGGGTGACTGCATTGTGCCTCCCCTGGCTCTCGGGCTCTTGGCCAAATCAATTTACATCGATTATAAATAGCACACAGCTATAAAGTACAATGAGATTTCCGAGGAATTGTCTTCAGAACTGAGAAATTGGGAATACAAATATTATTGTTCTTTAAAGATCATACAGTTGGTCATTATCGGAAACCAGAGCTAGAACTCGGGTCTTCTAACTGAAAAGCCAGTGCTTCCTTTTACATCACCCCGTCCAGTTTAATTTGTGACCTTCAATCTTCTTTTGCTTAGCCTCACCCTTCCTCCTTACCATAAACCCATCTCTGCTACATCAGAGCTGTATCATCTTTAATCTCCACCCTCTGCCCCAACCAAACGGGACCCAGTGTACAAGTTTACCATCTCATTGGACATTGTTGGTCACCTTCTCTGCTTGGACACCCCCTCCTCTCTTGGTTCTCTCCTATGTGTCGGACCACCCCCAGGGCTCCTCGGACAGATCTTCATTCATGTTATCGTGGGTGTGCCCCAAGGGTCCATCCTCAAACCTCTTCTCTTCTCTCTACACTCTTTCACTTGGTGGTCATTCCAGCACCTCTGCTTTTAATTATCATCTCTGTGCTGTTCGAGTCCAAGATCTATCTAGATTGGACCATCTTGCCTATATCCAGGCCACCATTTTAATCTTCTCTCCCTAGAACTTTAGACTCTGACCCAGGGATTCCAGATCCAGTAGGTGGGTTTTTGCCTTACCTTACCCAGAACTAGGCCTCCATGTCACTTTCCAGTCATCTCCTTACCATGCACATGACTCCACCCCCCTCCCTCCCCTTCCAACTATCCTTTATGTTTTGTCTTCTCCCATTAGAATGTTAAGTTTCTTGAGAAAAGAAACTCTCTGGCTTGCTTGTAATTGTATTCTCAGTACTTAGCACAGTGTCTGGCATGAAGTGTTTAATATATGCTTTATGTATTTTGTCTCTTTCCTGAGCTTTGGTCATCACCAACAGTCTACTGGACATTTCAAATTGGACATCCTATTGGCATCTCAAACTCAACCTACCAAAATGGATCTTGTGATTATCTTCCCTGCCTCCCTCTCCCCATCACTCTCAAACTTCCCTATTTCTGTTGAAACACAGGTTGGAAACCTGTATCCTCCTCAGCTCCTCACCTAACATATCCAATCAGTTGCCAAGTCCTGTTTCTACCACTACATCTCTTGAGTATCTCTCCTTTTCTCTCATACCTCCACTAATCAGACCCCCACCACCTCTTACCTGGACTACTCAAACAGACTTCTGGTCAGTCTCCCTGCCTTGTCTATCCCTACTCAAATCCATCCTCTGAACAGCTGGCCAATGATTTTCCTAAGGTGGAGGAATGACCCCCCCCATCACCACTCCCCCTACTCAATAGATGTCACTGGCTCTTTATTACTTCCAGGATCAAATAGAAATTCTTCTGTCTTGTACAGCTCTTAACAAGCCAGACCCATCCTAGCTTTCCAGACTCATTATGCTGCGTTCCTTTCACAAACTCTTCCTGTCAAACTGGCTTTCTTGGTGACCGTATACTTCATCTCCTGTCACTATTCTTCCTCCAACTATTTTATTTTATTTTATTTTTTTGGCTAGGCAATGGGGTTAAGTGACTTACCCAGGGTCCCACAGCTAGTAAGTGTTATGTGTCTGAGGCCAGATTTGACCTCAGGTCCTCCTGAATCCAGGGCTGGTGCTCTATCCACTGCACTACCTAGCTGCCCCCCTCCTCCAATTATTCCATGTCTGAAAGAAACTCTTCCTCCTAACCTCTTGGGAGTCCTTGGCTTCCTTCAGACTCAGTTTAAGAGCCACCTTCTGTCCTCCAGCTAGTGCCTCACCAAGGTTACCTCAGATATTTTGTATACACACAGACATTCTTCTCTTCCTTAGAGTCTAAGCTCTGTGAGGGCAGGCATTAACTTGCTTTTGTCTGGGATCCCCAGCCTCTTTCCCTTGGCCTGGCACAAAATGGGGGCTTAATAAATTCTTGTTGACCTGGGTTCAAATACTGCTGTCACTTGTAGCTGGGAAACCTTGAGCAAGTCACAACCTCTCTTGGCTTCAGTTTCCTTATCAAAAATGAGGGGGATAGACTCAATGGCTCTATGGGGGTGGGGGGGTGTCTCTTCCAGTTCTAAACCCATGGTCCTTTGATCTTCCACCTTCAAGCTTTTACTCAGGCAGTCCTCCCATGCCTGGAATTCTCTTCCTCCTTACCTCCTCTAGGAATACCAAGCTACCTTCAATGTTAATTTAGGTGCCAAGTTCTACATGAGGATTTTTCTAATTCACCCAGTTATAGCTTCACCATTCTTTCCAAAATTATATTGTATCTCTTTTCTATTTATCTGTGCACATGTTGCTCCTCTACCACTTTCTCCATTAGAATAGTAACCTCCTTGAGGACACAGTTCATTTTGTTGTAGCCCCTGTCAGTGCTTCAGTGCTTGGTACAGAGAAGGCACTTAATAAATGCTTGTTGAATAGAATTAGGCCTCAGCCTCTCCAACTGTTAAATGAATATATTTGGATTAAATATGTATTTGAATCCTTGGACGCTTCAGGCAAACGGGAATTGAACGGATACTTGAAGGGCAAGTAGGATTTGATATAGTGGAAAGAACCTTGGCTCTGGAGTCAGAAGTCCTGTGTTCAAATTCCACCTCTGAGACTTACTACTTGTGACTTTGAACAAGTCACTTAATTTTTGTGCCTCCATTTCTTCAACTATAAAATGAAGGGGATGGGCTTACATCACCCAAGATCCCTTTAAGCTCTAAAATCTTAAGATCCTAGGGGGGAAGAGATCAAGGGAGCAGATTGCCATTGACTGGGGCCATCTTTCTTTTTTTGGGAGGGGGCTAGGCAATGGGGTTAAGTGACTTGCCCAGGGTCACACAAGCGAGTAAGTGAAGTGTTATGTGTCTGAAGCTGGATTTGAACTCAGGTCCTCCTGAATCCAGGGCCAGTGCTCTATCTACTGAGCCACCTAGCTGCCCCAATATGCAAGGGGATACAATTATAATATATATATATATATTTGGGGGGGGTGAGGCAATTGGGGTTAAGTGACTTACCTAGGGTCACACAGTTAGTGAGTGTTATGTGTCTGAGGTCGGATTTGAACTTAGGTCCTCCTGAATCCAGGGTCAGTGCTCTATCCACTGCGCCACCTAGCTGCCCTGGGACCATCTTTCTGTGAGGCTAGTGCTTGGTCTTGGTCACACTCTACCCCAACCCGGACAACTGACCTTTCAATAGCTTAGACAAGGGGAAGATGCTGTTCGGCTGAGGGGAGGAGGGGGTGTACGTATTTGTCTTCCCTAATTGTCTTCCCTAATTCTAATCTAAGTCACACCAGAGGCAGTTGGGAGAAATCATTTTTTAATAGGAAATACATGATATAGAATCACAGTTGCAGAAAGTCTCCCAGTTCTGGATCAGGTAGCTAGATCCACATCCAATACCTGGCACAACCAGAGGACGGAGGAAGAACTATAAAGATTGTCCTGGATCAGAAAGGGCAAATAGCATGACAGGAATTAGACCCCGGGGTCCTGGAAGGACAGAGGATAGGGAAGGAAGAAGGCTCTCCTCTATATCTTGGCTGCTTGACCCACAGGGTCAGCTCAACAGAGTCCAAGTGAACTTGGTCTGTGTGGGTTAGATTTGGGCCCAGGGAAGGAGCTAGAACCCCTCTTCTGAGCAGGGAGAAGAGGTCCTGCTCCTACAGGCTTTGGAGGTGCACTGCCAGAAAGGCAAGGCAGACGCCATTGCTAAGTAGATTTCCCAAGTTGCAGAGGGAGGAAAGGCCGTGATAGTGGAAGAAGGTCTGCCGAAGGGCCCGATACTTGGGATCCTGTTCCCGAAGCCGACGGTAGGGGTCTTGGACCTGGCCCTGGGGAGGTCCTGGGGGTTCCCCACCTAGACCTCGATCCTTCTCCATTGCTTGCAGGGCCCACATAGCAGCTGTAGTCCTTGGCTCTAGCCACCGGGCATTCAGAGCTGACAGAACCAGGCTCAAAGCCAGGAGGCCCAGCTGGAAGGGAAGCTGTAGTTAGCTGGGGGGCTGGCCCTGGGATATTGCCCAAGGCCCAAGGTCACAGCTGAGAGTAGCCTTGGGGACCAGCAGTGGCCTCCCCGGGATTTCAACACATTCTATCAGTTGGGAGGAGGCAAGACATGATAGAGAGAGTGAAATTCTTCATTCCAGCCAACCACCATTATTTACATAATTTTAATTATGCAGTCCAAAAGACTCCTGAGTATTGTATTACCCAGGGAGAAAGTTGGAGAATATGTGTCCCGCACTTGGCAAGGTGAATACAGAAACTTCAGCAAAACAGAGTTTGGACTACTATCCTTGGTAGGCTGCCCACTCTAGCATGCCCCATATCCTGGACATTTGAGAAGGGATAAGAAGAAGCAAAGACAGATTTATCCCCCTCACTCCAATCAAGCTAGTGAATGAAGAGCCAGTGGGTAGAACCCACTCCCCCAGGGACAGGCCTAAGCCCTCCTGCAAAGACTTAAGTCCCCAGGCAGGTTTCAGAACAATGAACTAGGTGAAACGCAGAAGCCAAAAACGAGACTCAGTCATCAGGACCAATTCCTGGGAACTTAGAAACACCAACTCCAAGGAATAATAGCTACATCGAGTAGGAGCTGGTGTAGAGGCCAGACGTTGTCTTGAAAATGACCACAGAACACCCTGGGTTCTCTCCAAGCCCACTTTCCCTCGTCTCCAGCCTCCCAGGTCTCTAACCCCCGCCCTCGGCCTCCTAGTACCTGACCAACTTCTGCCATGGTAAAGCTGAGCTTCACCAGTGGGTGATGGAGCAGGAAGATGCCCAGGCTGATGGCGGCACAGGCCAGGGAGATGTGGAAGTAGAAAGGGAAGAGCTTGCTCTGGACCAGTCCGAAAGTGTGTCGAGGCAGCCCCCGGAACAACACAAACCCTATGGGTAGCAGTGGGGGTGGGAAAAGAGTGCAGAGGGGGCTGGTTGGAGAGCATGAAAAACACATTCTGACTCAGCAACCTGGTTTTTGTGTGACCCGGAACAAGTCATTTCCCCTTTCTGAGACTATGTCCTCTCCTTTAAATTGAAGAGATCAGACTAGGGAGCATGTCAGCCTCAGTTCCTGGAAATTCAGACCTTTTGCATGTGACCTCGCCTCTTGGGCTGGAAAGGCAGGGATACAGATTTGCTGAATCCCTTGGGCAGAACAGGAAAGAGCTGGGAAGGTAACAGGCAAAAATCCCACAGGCTACTTTTTAACTTCTCTGAGCCTCCTTTGGTGGGGGACTATGGAGATGGAATTTTGCATGCAATCTCAGATAAGGATGATGTGTCGCTAGGTTTTGCTTAGCTGGTTTTTTTGTTGTTGTTGTTGTTTTGTTATAAGGGAAGACTCACTACGCCTGAATATATTCAGAAATGACTGATGTATAAATGAAAGGAACTAATTAAAATTAAAATAAAGTGGTCTATATGTTTAGCATAGTACCTGGCACACAGTAGGCATTTAATAAATCCTAGTTGGTTGACTAGTGGAATATTTAAGTTACAGGGACCCTGGGAGGAGTGGGGGAGGGGGAGAAGATTAACCCGGGGTGAATTCCCTTTTGGGCATCCCTGACAGATGATCATACATTCCGGTACTACTTGAATACCTCTACGAAACAGCTCCCCACCCCGCCCCCGCCCTTTTAAAACTTTTTTTAAATTGGATTTTTTTTTTACCTCATTTCTTTACTTACAATGAGAAGAATATTAGGTTGGGATCAGAAGGTCTGAGGCTCCCTTACAAAGGTTGTAAAGTTCATTTTTTACTGTGGAAACCTGCTTGGACTCTCCCTAATTCCAAATCTGTTAACAAATCCCTATGGTCCCTTCCAGCTCTAAACCTCGGGATGCCACGAACTCTGGAGTTTCCTCCTCCCTTCCCCTCCCCCTGGCTCTCGGCAAGGAGCAGAGTCCAGGGTCCCTGGGGGAGGGGCACGTACCTGAGATGAAGGTAACCCAGACCTGCATGCCCCAGGCACTGGACAGGATCAACACCTGGACCACCTTGGCCAGATCACCCGGCTCTTCCTCTGAAGCCATCCTGCAGCCCCGGCTCCGCACCTGGGGGAGAGCAAGAGTAAAGAACCAGACTCAGAGCCCTGCCCACTCCCCAACCCCCACCCCCAAGGAAGGAGCTGGGGTACCCGCAAGGCTCACGCATCCCAGGGTGGAGGAACCCAGGAGGGCCCGGTTGCCTGCACCTAGGGAAGGGGAAGAGAGAGAGGGGGGCAACTTCCAGGGCCGAGGTCGCGGCTAGGGTCCGGGGAGCCCCTTCCCCAGTCCTGCGTGTGCAGGGACCCGAGAGTCTCGGACTGCCAGAGGCCAGATCCCATATTCCAACCTCCCTACCTTCCCCGCGAGGGGCACCCGGTCGGGAAAGGCTGCACCGGACTCCGGACCTCAGCAACAGCCCTCTCCTCCCCACCACCTTACTGCTTCAGCCCAAGTATTCCCGCCCCGCCTCCTTGCTGGCTTCAGACCAGTCCTATCGCGAGCTCTGCAGCATTTACACCACCCCTTTTGATTTTCAACCAATCAGCAAGGAGAATGCTTATACAAGACCCGCCTATCTTGTCTCCTACTCCACTGCCCCTCCTCTTACCAAGACTGCCACTCAGGGCTAATCCAATCGCCTTTCGCCTCAGGGAGTACAGATGAGGAACACAACCAATAGGCTTTCGGAATCGCCGCTGTGCGGGTAGAGCTACACACAAAGGTTCCGCCCCTCCTTTGTGACTCTGGACTCTATCCGGACACTATCCCTACCTTAACTTTGTATGGTGTCTCCACTGGATCAAATTTCATCGCTCCAGCTGGGGACTTTTTTCGTGGTCCCTGATGGGCTTAGAGTATGAGCAGCTGGTGGGTATTTCAATTCAATGAACATTTATTGAGTGCCTGCGGTGTTCTAGGCCCCAGCACGGCAGTTTTTTTGCCTTACTGCCAACTCCCCCCTCCCCTCCCCCGCAAGGGTCATGCAATGAGGACTCTATGGACCTGACTTCCCTCCAGATGTTCTCGCCCAGGTGCAAACATCTGGCCTTGACATCCCTAAGATCGAGTTCCAATTTGAATGGCAGGGTCTGGGGGGAGCAGGATGAGACAGAATTCCTGTTCTGGCTATGTAGATTCTGGGGTGTTTCCAGATGTGAACAGCTCTCTAGGGCTGGGAGGGTGGATGGGCAGGTATGGATGGCTGGGCCACCCTATACACCCTCCTCACCTATTACTGAGTATTCTCCCTACCTATCCAAGTGACTGTGTCCTGGCTGGAATTCCTCGGGACTCTGACAGCTCTGGAGTTTCCAGTCAGTCTCCATGCTCATCCTTTCCAAGGGAATGTGTACTGCAGATTTGTTCCAAGTCTGATAAGCTGAATGTCAGCTTGGCCTCAGAGAAGCCTTGGGGTCTTGGTATGTATGGAGTGATGCAACAGTTTGGAGGGTTTGGGGATAGACTGAAGGCAAGAGCTAGAGGACTGAGGACCAGCAACAGGGAATGGAGGGGTGCGTGAGGAGAGCCTTGGACTTGTGTGCCGTCATGCTAATTAGAGTCCTGGGCAGGACTTTGGAATTGGGCCACTAGGATAACAGGGAACTAGGGTTTCAAGTTGGGAGAACTAGGGGACCTGGAATGATTGAGATATTGGTGGCTTGGAGTAATCTTGACAGAGGGAGCCCCTATTCTCTGGAGCAATCTTGAAGAATGATTTAGGGTCCCTTTGTGGAATCCCATTTGATTTAAGGATGAGAAGGGGCAGGATCCCTGAAGTGTCATCGATGTGACCCTAGCTCTGAATTGCAGGTGTGGTTCATAACATCAACTCAGATTCCCAGAAGCTGAAAAATGATGAAAAGGACTCCCTAAAGGATGAACATCTCAGTTTCAAGGTGACCTCTTCTTTTGTTCTCTCAGGGGCCCCACCTCCCTAGATCATGTGGCATGTGGTGTAGTAGGGGAAGCACTGCCCATGGAATCAGGAGACACCTAGGTTCATATCCCAACTCTAACACTATATCTTGATGATAGATCCTCAGTAACTCAGCTCACTTGTCTGGACCTCAGTTTCTTTATCTGTAACATCTCAGGTTATTGGGGACCCAGACCAACCTTGTAGAAGGTTGTGAGAAAGCCTTTTGTAAACCTAAACCTGATACAGAAGTGGAAGCTATTGTTTTTATTATTGTAGAAGCAGTGTAGTTCAGTAGATGGGAATGTGGTCTTGGAGTCACGAAAGCTTGGGTTCAAATATCCTTCTGACTCTTATTAGCTATTTGAACCTGATCAAGTCATTTAATCTCTATGTACTTGAGACAGTCTCCTAGGACTTAATTACTGTTATGGAAGGAAAAGCCCTTTGATCTGTATTGGGAGAGACACATCCCCACACAAGCACCGGCAAAGGCGCAGCCCTTTCATAAGGTTTGAGGATTGTGGGTCCTGTGACCATGTGTGACATGACCTGGTTGTTTCCACCCTCACCTCAGAAGTGGCTGACCTCTGAGGAGACCCTTTCCTCAAGCCTGAGGCTGAATGGGAATTCAAAGGGGAACAGGATCAGGAGCCGGAGCCTGAGCCCAAGCCCAAGACCTCCGATGAAGGCTAGTGACCAGGTGCAGGCACGTTCTTCTATGTGGACAAGTCCAGTGGGGAACCCACATGTGTATACCAATGAATAACTCGGGGGCTCCTTCAAGTCCAGCCTCAGTTTCCCTCTTGTGATTTGAATAAATGAGGAGACCCTGCAGGATTTGGGGGAGGAGAAAAGCCCAAACTGGGGTAGAGTTGGGCCCTGGAGGTAGTTAGAGAGAGATCTGGAACAGGTTCTAATATGCCCTCTACCCTTCTCCCCCCATGATCTACTATGCTGGCCCCCAGAGAAGCTTGGAGACAGACAATTCTCAGGCCCAAGGTAAGGTATCCTGGGGCCACAGGAGTAGGGAGGATGAGGCCGACAGCCAAAGACCTGTTTTCTGTGGAATAGGGAAATGCAGACTGCTGTCACCCCTTCTAGGGCCTTCCTTACCTGGTGGGGTGAGGTGGAAAACAGAGACTATGATCTCTGATCCCCCAGGCAAGGTCTCCACCATCAGGATTCCTGACTCACAAAAGCTCTTAAGGACAGACTTGGATTGCCTCAAAACACAGCTTCAAGCCCAGACCAACGTGAGTTGGCCCATCTCCTTCATATTTGTCCTTTCTGATGTTGACCCTACCAAATCGCTGATCCCGATTTCTGACCCTAAACCCTTCCTGTTAGTAGGCCTTTGAGTTCCTGAACCACTCTGTGACCCTTCTGGAGAAGGAAAGCAGCCATCAGAGGGTTAAAATCCAGGAACTAGAGGGTGAGGTTGGGTCTCGGGAGTCAAATCACTAGGATTTGTAGGAGGTAAGCTCAAGATTAGGGATAGGGAAGGGTTTCCAGGGTTTCACATCAATCCCCTCTGAACCTAGGTGTGGGATTTAAAGAGACTTCCCAGGGTGAGCCCCTTCCTTCCCAGAGGGGTTGGTAGGAGGAGAGACAGAGGAGGTGAGGGTCAGGCTAAGATCAGAGATCACACTCTCCATCCATCCCCTGGCAGAAGTGATGAGCCTGTCTTGCTGCCCAGCCCAGGATGACCTCATTAGACGAGGGGCAGAACTAGGGCGTCAGGAGCTGTGGCGGGCACTGGCTCGGGGCCTGCAGGAGGTGAAGGAAAATCTTCGTGGGAGTGAGGAGGTCCAGCGGGGCCGTACCACCCGCTCCCTACTACAGCTGGGCCAGGAGATTCGGGAAAGGTGTGGATCCTGGCTTGGGGGTACAAGATTTCTGAGAGCAATAGAGAGACCTTAGGGTGAACAGGAGACCTCGGGAAGGAGGAAGGAGTTGGGGAGCTGGGAGAGGTTAAGTTTGGGATTCTGTGGCGTGTTATCATTCCCTCCCACCCCCCCACCCCCCACAGCAAGAAGTTCCTATGGGAGGAGCTGGAAATACTGCAGGAAGAGGTGACCTACATCCACCAGAAACTCAGTATGTCCCCCCACCCCTACTTGTCACCCCCTTGTCCCATTCCTCTGTCTCTTCATCCCCATCTCCCCTTCCTCTAAGGGCTGCAGCCTCTGGGCTGAGGGCAGGCCCCCCCCCCCCCACCTCCATGCCTTGGGAATGAATGGTAGTTGATACTGGCTCAGTTTTTCTCTTCTCACATCTCCAAGACCTGGATGGAGGGAGGGGGGTCCGCTACTTTTTCCTGAAGGCCCCTCCATCCTCTTGTCCTCATCCCTTTATTCAGAATTGCAGGAAGAAGAAATCAACAAAAACCTGGTGAATATCAAGAAAATGCAGAAGAACCAGGTGAAATGTCGAAAGGTAAAGGAAAAGTGGCCATGGGGGTAGGTCAAGGAAGGATGCAGGGGGGGAGGAAGATGACCAGGGAAGAAGGAGATAGGATGGCTGAAGTCTGAGTCTCCATTTCCCTTCTACCCCCATCTCTGACTCAGCTTGGGCCGAGACAGGGCTGAGTTTAGATGCCTGAGGTTGGTTCAGGAGAAAAGGTAAAGAGAGGGCCTTACTTCTGCCTCTACCCACCCCCTACCTTTAGGTCCTAACGAAGATGAAACAGCAAGGGGGCATGGTATCTGAGGAGGATACTAAGTCCAAGGACTGGTGGGGACAAGAAGAGCTGGAGGAGGAGCTGAATGACATATGGTGGGAACGAAATCCAGGGTGCCTAGACACATTCCTTGAGCCTAGACCTTCATGAATCCCCTTTGGTTCCCAGGGACCTATATTCCCTCAAATCCCCTTCAAACCCCTAACTGATGCCAACTCCCAAATAAGGCAAGTTATTCCCCCTCTCCAAGCCTCAGTTTCCTCATTTATAAAATGGGGTGGTGGTAGGATTAATTGGACTAGATGATACCCAGGACCTTTTCCAACCCTTAAACAATCCTGTGAGCTAGGACTTATTGGGAAGGCACACGATGAAGAATCCGTCATCCCAACTCCATCATGACCTGGCCCTTACTCCCCACCATTCCCCCGTCCAGATTCTGGGTGCATATTCCAGTCCATTCCCTGTCTAGGTCAGCTGTGAATACTCTTCAGAATGCCATTAAAAGCTTATCCCTGACTGGAGTCAAGCACCGTGGAGTCTTAAAGAGTGAGTGCCCAGGGAGAGGTGAGGTTCTGGGGAGGAGAAAAATAACTCTCTCCAAGACTACATTCCAAATACCCCTTCTGGAATTTCCTGGCATAGGCCGGAGAGTACGAAACTGTTTGAGTCCGACGCTACCGCCAGCCTGGGCAACAGATTCGGATTCAGATGTCAAGCCACCTCACAGCCCATAGCCAATAGCCCGACCCATGCAAGACTCCTTCAGTATGGACCCTGACGATCTCCAGCCCCTGGCCCATCCCCCTGGCCCCTGACCCTATATGTGGCTTCCTCAGGACCTCTGACCTCAACCCTCGCTCTCACTAGACCCTTCCTGCCTTTGCCCCCTACATCTTTGAGTAGCTCTGATGAGGATCTGACTCTTCACATCACCAATCTCTCTCTCCACAGGCTGAGCTGCTGGGTCCTGCCTGATCAAGGAAAGGGAGACCTCCCTGAGGGGAGCCCCAGCCTCCCAAAATCCCCTAAGAGAGAAAATAAAATAGGAGTGGCCCCTTCCCCAACACTCTCTGTTCATGCTGACTCTGCTTGCCCCTTCCCGTTTTTCCTTGCTCTAGAAAGGGGTAATTCAGTGGGGCTGGGCTCAGAGGCCAGTCAGGCTGGAGTGAGTGCATAGCCAAGTGCAGGCTAAAGGAAGCTTGAGTCTGTGATCTTGGTCAAATTAGGACAGAGCCACGGGGAGCTGTAGCCCCAAGCTCAAACTACTCACACAGCCATGCTCCTAATAGACACAGCCTTACCACGCGCTGCCCCCACAACTCACCCAAGCGCAAACGTCTCAGTCCAGAAAACACTGCCTCCTTCCTCCCCCTCCACAACACAGCTGGCCCGACCCAAAGGTTCCATTCATTCAGCAAGCATTTACTAAGCTTCTAACGCGTGCCGGGGACTGTCTAGGTGCCGAGGATACAGAGACAAAAAGGAAATAATCCCTGCCTTCAAGCAGGTTACATTCTGGGTCTGTCTCCCTCCCTTGGATGAGTACGGAAGGCCGGAAATGAACTCCCGGGCCGAGTGGGGAGGTGGGGGGAGGTGAGCCAGGGAGCGTCTTCACAGACGCCCCGCCCCGGGGCTGGCCCGGTGCTAATGAGCCGGCGCACGCCTGGCGTACTCCCACCCCTCCCTCCATCTCTCCATCCAGCCTTTCCTTTGGTCCCTACCGCTCTTTCCGGCTCCGCTGCTGAGGCTTCGGCAGGCTAAGGCAGCGGCTCCCAGAGAGCCAGGGCTGGGCTATCCTTCGGTTCTGTCTGCCTCCGCCTGCCCTCTCGTCGGTCCGCAACACCTGGACATCTGGAACAAAGGCGAACGGCTGGGCCTGGGACTGGCCTCCCTCGTCGTGGGACGTGGATCCGGGCCATGGAGCGGCCGTGACCCAGGTGGCGGTGATGGGTACTGGACCGTGATATGGGGTCCCTGCTTACGGGGGGAAGGGAGTAAGAGAGCCGTTGTCTGGGAGTAATGGGGGGAAGGGTACTTGGAATCGCGGGGTGGCGATGGGGAGATGTGATGGGGGAGGGGGAGACACCGTATCTGCACGCCTGTGCGAGGCTACGAGTCTGTGTTCGCCCACTCGGTTAGGCTTCCCCTCCCAACAAAACACGAAAACACATACAGACACACAGACACAGACACAGACACACACGCTCTCTCTCTCTCTCTCTCTCTCTCTCTCTCTCTCTCTCTCTCTCTC